TAGGCGTTGGCGCGTGGGCAGCGGGCAGCGGGGCAGCGGGCAGCGGCAGCGGGCGGGGGCGGGGCAGCGGCAGAAGGGCGGGATTTCTTAAATTTTTTGAATTAAACGGGTTGGCGGGTTGACCCGGCAACCCGCCGGTCAACCCGAACCGACCGTTTTTGAAACTGGGTCGATTTCTGGAACCCGAACCGACCCGTTTGAAATCGGGTCGGTCCAACCCGGCGTCGGGTCGGGTCCGGGTCGGGTTTTTGTGTGTGTTCAAAAATGACACCCTATCTGTAGGAGTGACGAAATATTTTTACTTTTAAATAATTAAAAAATGCCGTAATATATGCTCATTTATTTTAGAGGTTTTTTGCAATAGTAAATTAAAAGCTGAGATTAAGCGTATTTATACATATTACAAAAAATGATTTTTGAGACTTGCAAATACAGATGGCTGAGTGTAATGGCAAGTTTCAAAATTGAATAAAATCAAAATATATAGAAGAAAAATTTTCAGCTAAATCTACAATGGCTGGCTAGACTCCCTAAACTCACTCCTCATATATATATAACTTCCTCTAATGATGCAAAAATTCTCAGCTTTTGATCCTATATCACATCAGAAAGTATATTTCAATAATTATTGAATTAATTAAATATATGATGCAATCATATGTACAAAATATATAGGATAGAGAAAAGAGCAATAAAGGAAGATAATATATATTTCTTAATAATTAATGAGAATATATTAATATAAATAAATATAATAATTTTTTGCTATATAATAATGTGATGTATTTATTTGATTATAAATTGAAATTAATGCTCTGTATCTCTCCCTTTTCTCACCCTTGCATAATGGAAAAGTCTTCCAACATATTCCTTAATCTTATTCTATTTTCAGCCATTAGATGAATAAAAATAAATTCATTTTTTTTAAAATTAATTCCTATTTGTTAGCAACAAAAAAAGCATAGAAATCATATTTATGAATATAAAATATATATAATGAAATGAACATTCAAATTTTTAAATATTATCAGTGAAGAAATTTTTGGTGTACATATATATATAATGCTCTTTATCTCTCCCTCTCATCACCCTTAGCAAAATGAGAAAGTCTTTTAAAAATATTTCTTATTCTATTTTCAGCCATTAGATGAATAAAAATAAATTAATTTTTATTAAATTAATTCCTATTTGTTAGCAATAAAAAAGCATAGAAATCATATTTATTATGAATGTAAAATATATATAATGAAATTAACATTCGAATTTTTAAATATTATAAGCGAAGAAATTCTTGATCTTTATGTTGGAGTAATGAAATATTTTTACTTTTAAATAATTAAAAATGCATTATTTATGTTCATTATTTTAGAGGTTTTTAAAATTAGTAAATTAAAAAGCTGAGATTAAGTGTATATATACATATACCAAAAATGGAATTATTTGAAACTTGCGTGGCAATGCTATTGTTTTTGTTTCATGCAACTCTCACCATTATTTTCTATAAATGAATTGATAATAAATATATTGACCGTTGATAATCTAATACACTATCAATTAGGAGGAGTAAACAACTAATGAATTAAACACCACAATGAAGAAACAAACAAGAAGTATAAAATAGTGGAAAAATAAAGGACATCAATATTTAACGTGGAAAAATTCAAAATAGAAAAAAAAAATGGAGCCACACTACACTAAGAAATCTCACTATGAAAATTGGAAGAAATAAGTACAGATCTTTCTTCTCTCTCTTACTCGCTCCTTGCTTCTCATATCACATACACTATTCTTTATGTATAACCTAACAGGAAATGAAAGCCAAGTTAATTAACCCCAAGGGACTTACTAGTTCAAAAAAAAAAAAAAAAAAAAAAAAAAAACTAGTTCAAAAAAAAAAAAAAAAAAAAAGAAAGAAAACCGTTTAGTTTATCTCGTAGCGTTGTCACGCCAGTTTGGTGCGTTGAGGCATTCAAACCTCTATTTTGATCTGATGTGGCACCTTATCTAGACCGCTCGGGTACGCAGCACCGTGACACTCGGATATGCAATGGGTAAACCCCCTGCACCCCCAGCTCATGGTAACAAGACAACCTGGTTGATCAACACAATCAAATTCCACACATAACACTATCATTTGTTGATATCCCCCAAAAGCACCACAGTGTAATCTAAAGGATGTCCAATGCTGCATTGATGGAGGGCATGTCTCCAAATCATCAACAGACTCTTATATGTGGAAGCATTGGCCCTATTAACATAGTAAGCTTGGTCATACATACATTGAGTGCTGGCAAGAATATATATTGTTTAAGTAGAGAGGCGACAATATTGGATCTCCATGGAGCTTCTGATGTTAATCTCCCCATGGATCATCTTGAGTCAATCATCAAATGTCCATCTTGATTGTTGATCAAATATTTTGAGTAACTTTGAGATCACCATTGCATTGTATTTATATGACATATGAGTATTTTTTAAACAAACATGAAATTAATAACCAATGATTTAATACAAATGGAGTTGGTTTAAATATAAGTTATTTTTTCCCAAATGATTCTACAATGGAAGAACTAATAGGGAACTCAAATTTAAAATATTTAATGTATAAATTTATAATTTGTAATTAATTATGCCTTTTTTATTATCAATAAGTTTAGTTTCAGATATTTATTATCAATAAGTTTATATATATTTTTAGAAATAAAAATAATTTTTTGTTCTATTTATAATAATATTTGCTAGAGAAATAACTTTTGGAAGCAAAGCAAATAATTATATAACTATATTAAGAATCAATTAGCCCACAATCTAAGATAAGATAAAAGAATCTCTTAAATAAATAAATAAAAGAAGTTAATATACATAAATTAATAAAGCTTAAATACATAATTCAATCTACTATATTATAATATTTACTGAAAAAATTAATATCAATAATATTCTTCAATATTCAATAGAGTTGAAATATATATATATAAAATTTTGTACTGTTTTTTTATTTTTACAAATAAGATAAAAAAAATAGTTCAAATATATATTTGTTAATTATATGTGTAAAATATGAACTAAATAAAATCCAACCATAATCGAATTCTGAACCTGGCCGCGGAGATTATTCTCAACCTGGCCGCGGAATTCTCCTCAACTTCAAGTTTAAAACCCTAACCGTTCCCACCAATTATTCCAATCGCTCTCATCTTGCAAGCTTACTGTTGTTTATTGTCGCCGTCTAAGTCTTCTTCGAACTGCACCTACTCGCGCGCGACGGATCTTCGTTCTCTTCGATCCAACAACTTCTAAAAAGCGCTCTTTTCCGTTTCAGCCTTGCTAGGTTCTGCATTTTAATCCCTATATATAATAGATGTAATGCATGAACTTCATTCAAAGTAATATGAGTGATTCCTTGTTCGATCGGATTTACAGAGGTTGAAGAGAGAGAATGTGGTGTAGTCACTGCGTTGAAGACCAACAAGTCGCGTGGGGACCTGATTACATGTACTTATTTATTTTATACAATTTTGAAGTTCTTTCTTGGTCTATATATGAATGCATGTTGTGATAAATTTCGGATTGATTCATGCTTTCTTTTATATTTATTGTGCTTGCATCAGCGCCTGCTCTGTTTGTGGGAAGCTTTTTGAGTTCCCCGTTTCTAAATGCCACCGTATGATTGGAAAACCAAAAAAAATCCAGGTATGTAATGCTTCATATATATATTTCACATTTGATTAATCTCTGGATGTGGTCTTTTTTGCTTCCTTTTTTTTGGAAATATCAAATACCTAAGTTGCTGCTTTGTACTCAGTTTTTAGATAGCTTGTTTCGTCCCCTGTTAGAAACAAGTCAGCACTTAATTTTAATTAATAGAATGCAAAAGTCGTTGTCTAAGACTCATTCTTGTCGAAGGTAATTTATTCAAATTTGTTTCATGCCTTAGCCTTATTTCCTGGTTAAGTATCTTCTGCTGGAACGTTAGAATTAACCCTTTGCGATATTGACTTGTCTGTTATTTGATGGCTTTCTTGATTAAATTGAAAGCCACAAGACAAGTTGAAACATAAAAAAATTACTATTTGTTCATGCATTTCCCAAAAAAAGATAAAAGGGAAAAAGCTAGAAACGTTCATGCGTCTTCCTTTATTTTTGCTCGTTATCAATGAGGGTGCAGTGGATTCTACAAAAAGCAAACTTGTTGGTTTTTTTTAAAGATGTGATTTGTGTAGTAGGAGTTTATGCTAGTTTGTGGAATTAATTCATTCTTGGACAGATTAACCTGATTGCATGAACAAATATTTTGTTTTAATTGTTGAATATAGAGAAGTAATGAATCATCTAAGGAAAATTGAGCATCACATATTGCAGGGTTTGCTTGGAAGAACTGTGAAGCATGGGAGCCTTTATGAAGTTGATGTTCTTGATGTTTGGCATTTCTTGGATCAAACCTACCTTAGCGAAAATTCACTTCTACCTATTACTGTAGATAGAGCCTTAATGCATTAATTTTGTAACATCTGATTGTTTATTTATGCAAATATTCTGGGAAAGCATACATGTTGAGCATTTTAAATTTATTCAACTTATGGATTGGAATGAATGTCACCATATTATTTCGTTATTATAGCCATTTTTGAGGAGGTCGTACTGAATTCTACAAAATTTACTTTATTTGCATGAGTAAGATTTGCTTACACATATGAACAAATCATGTCCCATAGGTTCCCATAGATTCAAAAAATAAGATACTATCAATCACATTTTCTTAAGCTTTTAAGAAGATATATCCAATCCTTCGTCATAAAGATATAATCTTAACATTCCTTTTAGTTATATTTGTCATTCTAAATGATTCATCGGCCTGAGGATGGAATCATCTAAGGGTTTAATAAAAAATTGAGTGATTTGAAATGTCCTAAAATCCCTAATTTCTCATATTTGAAATAGGTTGAATCAGGTGACTTTGAAATTTTGATCTATATCATCTCCTTGTTGTTTGCAACACATCACACTTGCCACATTGTGCCCTCACTTGAGGCGCATGACTTGCCTCACTCTTATTGTCATCCTTTACCAACCACATATAGGAGAGAGAAAAAGAGAGTATTTGAAATAAATTCCAATGAATAAAAAAATATTTCAATGTATTAGATTTGCATCTAGTCAAATAAGTCTTCCATTTCAGAATTTCATGCATTTTGGAAACAAATGATTAAACAACATCATAATAATTTCTTCTAGCTAAAAGATTTTTTTTAGACCAAAATCAAAATTATATAAATTAACGATTTATTAAATATAAATAAAATTACTATTTTGCTTGAAACACTTATTGATATTTCAGAAAGCCTATCATGAACTTTTGGCTCTAAACTATTTGTATTTACTATTTAGGGAATGAATTTTGCTTCTTGTAGGAAAAAAATAAAATCTTCCTAGAAATCCTACCTTTTTATAGAAAATTAATGAAACTTGGTGAATTACGAAGTAGTGGGATGGAGCTATTATCTGTAAAAAAAGAGTTGAGACTTGGATGTCATTTATCCTTTATGTTATAATGTATATATATATATATATATATATATATATATATATATATTCCTATATATGTTGGATTACATCAAGGATCAGCCTTAGGTCAATATCTTTTTGCTTTAGTAATGGATGAAATTACTAGATGCACCAAGAGGGGGGTGAATTGGATGATTAAAAACTTCTTTAATGAAAAGAAATATCTTTTTATGACTTTATGCGGAAGCCGAATTTCATTCACAATGAAATATAGATAATCAAATTCATCCACGAAATTAAACACAAGAAAGAAAAAAAAAGATACTACAAGCAAGTACGAAACAAAGGAAATGCATTTAGATAATCCAGGCATTACAACATTACAACAAACTTCTCCCCCTTTTGACAGCACAAAAAGGAGGAGACACTAAAAGCACAAAAAGCAAAAAAAAAAAAAAGAGAAAAACTACAATGCAAACAACAGCAATCTAGTCAGACGGGTCCTGATCTTTGTTGGTGGTGGAGGTGGATTTGGCTGAAATATTGAAATAGAGTATCGAAGCGGTGATCAATTGCAGTAAAAACGCTCTCCAACATTACATATCAGTCTCGTGTTGCTGATGTTGTTCTTGAATATGCATGGTCGAGACGAGTCTGCAGCTGGATCTAAGCGGCGACTAATCTATCATTTGGGTGTGCCTGTGCTAGTGTAGGTGCTCGAGGTGCGGCTGGCGTCGTGGTCGGAGCTGGAGCTGCGACTGGTGCATCTTCTCCTTCTTCTTCATCAAAGATGGGTTCTTCAGGCTCATGCCCCCCGATGAAAGAGGATACGGAAGGAGCATCCGTATAAAAAATTGGAAGCATGTCGGGTTCACCAGGGTAGGATAATTGATATTTATGGTAGAGGATATATCCTTATTAGGTGACCTCAACGAGCCAGATTCTGTTTCCGTCGACGTTGGTGGGAAGACGAACAAAAGTCATGTGCCGATATATAATTGCTAATCCAAATCGACCTCATCAAACTTAATTGTTGGACATAATAAGATAGGTAGCGACTTGACAGGTAGGGTTAGATTGATCGTCGCCACCCTTTGGGTTATGATAGAGGTTTCAAAGAACATGTGAATTATACGCATTTCGGGTTAAGGAATCTGGACTAGGAGGCTGCGGTTTGATGAAAAACAGTATTCCTAAGGACTACTATTTACATCGCCCAATCAAAAATCATCGGTAATAAACGAGCGAACCACAAAGGTCCTTCAGTGACAGCCCAATATGTTGGGCGATGTCCGGCTCTAAATTATTTCAATGGGGCGACCACAAACAAGGAGTGAAAGTGGTGTTATCGACGGTGTAGATGAGGTTTGGCGAGAAATTTCAAAAGAGAAGTTCAGAGTTATATGGAAACGCTAGGGTGAGGAGGAATTGAAAGGGTGGTGGGGCAAGAGGCCCATTACCTCGAAATTGAAGAGCGGCCTGATTAAGCATTTATTAAGAGGGAAATTTTGCAGGCTTTTGTATCCGGTAGTAGGCTTCCTCATTCTCACTATTCAAAAGCGATCAGGTTGAACGGCTGGATGAGGACGAGCTTGCGGCAAGTCATCCGACCTCGTTTTAGAACATTGCAGGAGGGCACCGAAAATCGAAGTGAAGGCTGAGTGAGGAGAGGGTTGAGTGAATTGAACAGCCTAGGCAAGGGTATTTATAGGGAATTTTCGTGAAATCGTACAGGTACGATCTTGTATGTATAGTTACGATATCCAATTAAATATTTTAAACCGATCGTTTCGAGAAAAGTTTCTTCATCGTACAGTACGATAGGTATCGTAACAGATACGATCAGGTGAATATCGATCGTCCCGAGGGCCCTCAGTACGACTTTTTGACCAAAAGTTTCGTACTGTACGAATAGGTGGAGTCGTTTTACAGTACGATACATAATAAATATCGACCTACCGAACAGCCTTTAATTCAAATTTGTCCTTTTTATTATGGAGGGATCGTTACTGTACAAAATGGAGGTATTCGCTTTACAGTACAATACTCAATAATGTCGTACCAACCGGATTTAATTCGCTCCCATCCATTGCTGACGTGGATCGTAGTTGTACGAAGAAGAGGGAATCATACATTAATGATAGGTCATTAATGCGGTAAGATTATAGTCACAGGATGATGTACATCGTACAGTACGATCAACAGAGCTGAAATCTGACCTACTTGTGGATGTATGTAGATTGTGATATATCGTATAGCAGTATGATATAAATCGTTTACTAGATACGGATGAAACAGTCCCAATGTTAAGTGTTGTGTGGTGGTGAGTGCTGTGGTGATCAGAGCAGCCCTAAAGATTTTTTTGTTTTTGTTTTTTTTTTATTTTTTGTGTTTGTTTTATTTATTATTAATTTTTATGCATTTATATCTATGACACCTTAATCTCAGTCCCTCAAGGTGCTAAAGGTGTCAAAAGCTAATGGTTTTGTGAATATGTCTGCCAATTGATCTCCTGTAGCGATGTGAATGTAATTCTATATCTCCCTTAGCGGACGTGATCTCTAATGAAATGATGTCTAATGTTCTATATGTTTTTCGTTCGAGAGTGTTGAATTGGATTCTTAAAAGATACAAATTGCACTTGTATTGTCACACATGATCCGAGTTGAGTTCCATACAGGTAGGTCCAAGTATCAGAATTTGTTATTTTAACCATTAGTACTTGTGCAACACAACTTCCTACTGCTAATATATCTGCCTGGCTGTTATGAGGATAAGTGCTATTGAGGTGTTTGCTTCCTATGGACCAAGAAAACTAATGGATTGTCCGATGATATTGGCAGTAGACCAGATGGGCTCTTCTATCTACTCCACATCCTGTAAAGTCAGAATCTGAGTATCCTAGGATTTCAAAGGAAGTTGTTGTGATTAAGGATACCAAATTCCTAAGTTTGGGGTGGCCTAGTAGATACAAGAATTCTTTTTGAACAAGCCGTTAAGTGAGTTTCTTTAGGGATCCGGGCTTGGAAAACGCGCATAAAGGCACACACTAAACATTATGTCAGGTCTACTTGGCAGGACAGGTAAAGAAGGGATCAATCATTCTCATAAATATTTTTCTGATCTACTTAATTTTTCCACTGAGGATCCTTATCTCTAATTGGATTGCGAACTCCATTGAGGATGTTCATGGGTTTTGCACTATCCATTTCATATTTCTTTAAAAGTATCCGTTAATATACTCTTGATTGGGCTAAGAAAGGTTTCCATTAATCCATTTGTTTTATCACTAAAAGCCAAGAAAGTAATTAAGCTCTTCATCATGTCTATTTCAAAAACTCAATTACTTCATTATTTTTGAAAAATTCATCGGCAATAAGTTTTTATCGAAGGATCCAAACCAAGTGTCACTCTACATATATTTGGAATAATGAGAATTCTTCTTTGACCTTTTGTTAAAATAAAGAGTGGAGTATCTACACTAACCCTTTTTAAAATCCTTATCCGAGAAAGAAGTGAGCTAAGTCTTTCCAATACCATGCTCTAGGATTGCTTTAGATCCATATAGTGCCATTTTTAATAAATTGAATACATGGTTTGAACATCTGGTGAGCTGTTTAAATCCGGGGGGTTGCTAAACGTAGACAATCTTCCTTAATTACCCCTTTCAAAAATGCACTCTTACATCCATTTGAATAATAACTTTAAAGTTCTGAAGGCAAGCAAAGAAGCTAAGAGCACTCTTATGGGTTTAGTCTGCAACCGGGGCAAAGGTTTTCTTCAAAGTGCTATCTCCCTTCCAATCTGTGGTTTACCCTTAGCACTAGCCTTGGCTTTATTCCTTATTATTTGTTCCTGAAATCATTATTAATTCCTTGAAGACCCATTTGTTTCCAACAACACTCCTGCTCTTCTAGGTCTCTTAACTAACTCCCAAACATCAATTCCTGGTGAAATTGGTTCAGCCTCTTCTACATTTGCTCAGAATCCAAAATTCATTCTCCTAAGGCTTCGAATCTACACTTGTAGGTTCTATCATAGAGATGAAAGCTGAGTATGACTAACCTCCTTCCTAAGTTCATGCCTAGTTCTTACACCTTCTGAAGGGTCTCTCCTAAAATTAACTCTAGGGATGACTAGAAGAATATCTTCGCATTCTCTAGGCAAAGGCTCCTGAGATTCGACCCTGTCTCCTAAGGTGTCATAGTTCTACTCCTTTGATTGGCCTCTTATTTCATCAATCTTCAATTTTAGTTTTTGAGGGGATATATGATTCATGCAAATACCAATGGGTGGATTCTTCACTACAAGGTTCTTCTTATTAAAATTTCTATAGGCACTTACCACAGAGAGATAATAGCCCTAAGAAGCCCCCAACCCTTCCATTCAGACTTTGAGATCGAATTTTCCTAAGGATGTTTACCATTATTTTATGATTTGAAGCACTTACCACCCAAAACCTGTAAATGATGAAAGGTTTGGTGTCCTACCCTTAAGGAGTTCATTATG